AAAGAAACATACCAGTACACAAATAATGCTAAGATAAAAATGAATGGAGGGAACAGACGGTGTAGAATAATATTTGTTCCTCGACAATCAATCTTCTTCAATAAGAAAGATTTTTTATTTTTCTTCCTTTGATGTTGTAACTCGCTAGGTATCGCCACGGACTTAAAATAACCAAAGAACGCACTGTAATTAATTTTTTGAAGTTAAATTTTGATTCTGTTTTAAACGCTATTTCTATTAAAAGAAAAAAAACCCGTATATAAATAAAGTTTTTAGCATTTAAAAAAAACAAAACATTGGCACATTCGTCATCGAATCGCCATTACAGACGAAAAATGTAAAGAAATTTTAAAACCTTTTAAAAACCCATTATTTGTCCTCGAGATATGTTTCGAAGTCTTTTAGTAAATTTCTAAGAGTTAATTAACTGGATTTTGTAAATGTAACGAATGTTTATAATTTTACAGTCTTTTGAACAGAATTAGAAGTTTTTAATTTTATCCTTTCTTTTCTGTTTAAGATTAAGTTTAAGTTTGGGTTTCTGGTTCCTTCTAGGCTCCAGTTTTCTGTTTTCTCATTCTCTTTCACTTCTTGCGTTACTGTCATTATCGCTTTACTCGGGTTGCGTTGAATTGATTTAAAAATAATAATGAAAATAACGTTTATTTACGCACAGCAGCCTGTTGGCTCAAAAGTTAAACACAAAAACTGTAAATAATGACGCAACTCAAACTGGCTTAAAAAGCGCGCATAAAAGTAAAAATAAAATTAAAGGAACACCAGCAGTGCAATTATCAAGAAATTAGTATTAATGTTTAAAACATTATATAACCAATAGTTTAAGAATATCATTTAAAAAAAATTCTATCTATATGTTTAGTAGATTGAAACATTTTATTTTTATTTTTTATGCATGATTAGAAGTAGTTATTTTTTTTTAGTTCAATGATACTTTTTTTATTACCTTTAACATATTCAATGCCTTAAACTAAAGTTAAAATATATAATTGCACTTATTGTGATTGTTTTAAAATAATTCTGAATTTAAGAAAATGTATTAAAATGAAGGAGCTACTACTAACAAAAATTGATAGATTATTAAATTGATAATGTAGTTAAACTGATTGCAGTCACTGAGGCTTTCTTAATTATTGATTGTCAACTAAGTGATGCCTTTATTTTATTTTGTCTATCAAATTATAATCCTATATGACCAAAAGTTTATGAATACAATTTTTTATTCGATATGCTTTTATGAAACTTAGTAGAATGTTCAAAAGCAAGAAATGAAAATTATTTCCTTTTTGTACATCCATACAAAGAATAATCTAACAGCTGCTAAAAGGAAAAGAAGCAAAATAATTGAAAAAAGGTTCACACTCGAAAATGGCATTAAACTTTACATTTTTTAAAAATCTTCAAATATGTCTTTATTTAATAAAATAAACTCTTTTGACAAATAGCAAAAATTTCAAAATTGCACAGAAATCTTTTTGAAAAATAAATATGAAGTATAGTTTTATTTTTGTTTTTGTTTTTTCTTCTGTCCAATCTCAAAGAAAATGTGTTTTTGTGACATCATGCAAGTACCAATTCTGGAGAAAAAAAAACAAAAAAAAACGTTTCTTGCTTGTTTGTCTTTTTCTTTTTTTTTTTTTTTGAGTTTTATTGAATTATCTTTGGTAAGATTTTGCGACGAATTTTAGTAGATTTGCGTATACTGTAATAACATCTTCAGGGATTTTTCTTTAAATAACTGTAAATAAATTTGATGTCCCCTCCAAATTAAAAAGTATATACGGCATATCAAAAAGGGGCTGAAACAGACCCCAAATAATATTTCCACAAAGTTTTATAATAAAATAAGGTATTCATTATGAAATTCATCTATTAATGAATAAGTATGTCGGGTCGACCGGAAGTTTCCATCTGAAGAGTCCAGAGTAGAATGACCAAAATCAGTTATTTACGCATAAGACCCCAAATGGTACTTCCAGTAGCGTTGAAAATATTCAAAATATCATACAAATTATTAATCGACCACTGACAGCGTTTCCTTCGACTTTTTGAGATACTTTTTTTTTGTGAGCCAGCACCTGTTTAATGGAAATTATAAATACAGACCATAAAGCAAACAAAGGCAGTTGATGAATGGATGAGGCATTATCAACTCAACCGATTTACTAATCCACTGAAACATTTCACGCTTCCCTGATGTAGATTCAACAATGAATCCAAGATCTGAACTTTTCCCCTTTCAAGGGAAAACCTCAATGTGTGTCTTGTCTTTTCCATTTTCATGGATTTGATTAACGCATCTCAACGTGTCTCTTTGTACCTTTCCATTTTCAGGGGTTTATTTAAACACGTCTAAATGTGCGTACGTAACTTTTCCCTTTCAAAAGCTTTAAAAGCACCTAAATGTGTGTTATCTTTTCTCTTTCAAATGTGTATATGTGAACTTACCGTTCTTTTCAATGTTCTTATTATATTCACTACCTGATATATAAAATACCCAAATAAACTGTTATTTGTTGATGGACAAATATTTATTTTCTTGTTCGTTTTAAATTCACCTGTTTAAATGCCTTACTAATCATTGTGTTGTACGTTGGATTAAGATTGCTTTATTCTGGACAGCACCCAGAATAATTAATAATCGCTGTCGCTATCTTATACGAGTTAGCCACAAGAACCAAACACCTTCTGCACCCCATAGTTCCATAACCTGCACATGAGAAAGTCACTACCCACAAGAAGTACTAAGAATTTCATTTAAATCGGATAATGTCCTGTTTTTTTTTTCATTTCCAAAAAAAATCATCAATTTTGGTGGTATCTGGAACTCCATTGATCTGTGAGTACGAAATAGTAATAACTCCCTTCACCAACTCTCTTCTAATTCGGAGGACTGAGGAAAAAGAAAAGCAAAGGCTATGTGAAATTTTCTTTGAGATCACTGAAAGCTTTACCTTCACAAAAATTGACCGGTAAGCTGAAATTGTGGAGGAAAGAAATTTGCGAGCCTATGCAAAATTGTTTTTGCACCAATGAAAACCTTGCCTTTAAAGAAATTCGTTGTTGAGTTAAGAAGAAAAAGAGTAGCGAACCTATGCGAAATTTCTTTTGATATAAAATGAGGAGAAATATTAATAAGATTGTCTAAAGTCATGTGAAGGTTTTTGTTTCAGTTCCTCGTGACCAACATTGAAGCTAGTGTAGAATTAATCGCCTATTATATAACTGGTCCCTAACCAAGCACACGGCAATTTAATGACTTTTCTCTCAATAATCCCAGAAAGCTAAATATTTCAAACAGTGGCGACTCCAGGGGTTGAGCTTGTCAGGCTCAGCTCAAGTCAGTCAACATTCAAGTATATGTATTTCAAAGCAACAAAAATGTTTCACAGAGCGTTGTTTTCATTCATGACTTCAGCTGGAGCCAAAATTAATTGTTTTAACTTCATGCCTCAAAATATTGACTGAAATATATTTCGCTGTTTTTGTTCATAATAAAGATGAAAGAAAGAAACAAAGACAGGATGTAAAAATAGAATTAATTAAAATTAATGTGGCTGACAGGCTGGAGACACACTTAACAGGCAATGCATTTCTTGCATTAATATTATAAATAATTTTTTTAAATCTCTAACAACTTGTATGTCCAATTTTTCAAAGAACACATTTTTATTTTTATTTATTCTTTTCAAATGTCCATTTTAAATAATTTATTCCGTACAGTATAAGTTTTCTGTTTTTATTTGCGGAATGTATCAATTGAAAAGAGGCAAATTAAATTTAGCCCAACTTAAAGTTGGAGAAAATCAAAGAAAGTAGCAGCCTTAACTCGTCAACTGGAGGGTTGGGGTCAGGAGTGTGACTGGGGTAGTGTTGAGGAAATATGATATCACTCAATTATTCCTATCTCTATCATCAGTGACTTGATAACCAGGCTATGAAACAATAAAAAATGGAAAGGGAGCAATAAACAGATAAGCATCTCCTTACAATGTTTTCTTACATGTCTGGAAAATGGTTTTAAAATATGTTTATTCTTATAGAATTATTACAATTAATATTAAAGTAGAATGTCTCTTGTAGATAATTGAGGTGACGCTTGTGAGCATAGGAGTCTGATCTCGAAGATGGGTGAGTTGATTGTGTACTGGCATCGCGTTGAAGCTTTTGTCAACTCGGTTGAATGAGAAATTGCCGTGAACTGTTTTGAGGGTCGCGGAGAAATCGCTATGAACTGTCTTGAGGGTCGCGGAGCAGGTTCTTTTAAGTAATCAGGGTAAGTACATGACTTGGCATCTTTGTAGCGTTCACATTCAGTAGACATGTTTTGATGTAGGGTGAATGAGAAAGGTTGAATTTGAAGCAGAGAATAACATAAAGTTTTTAGCTTCGTTTAGTGAAGTGTGAGTGTTCCTCACAAATGAAGAAGCGACACGAAGCAACACAAATGTTCTACAGAAAGATACTAAGGATACCATGGCCAGTGCATATGATCAGCAAGGAAAGTTTAAGGAAAGCGGAAACAAAAAAGACATACTTTGAATCGGAAAAAAAAACAATTGAAATTTCTAGTACACATAAAAAGGAAAGAAAGCTTGGAGAATTTGACATAGATGGGATATAATGACGGCAACAGGGGCAGAGGGAAGCAACGTGTAGCCTAATTAATACGCTTATGTTGAGGGGTGACAGGACAAGAAATGGAAGAGATAGTAAAATGCCAAACATAGCTAAAAACTACAAATAGTAAGAAGTGGTGGAGGGCCATGATCATCCATCTCCTGAAATAGTACAACACAATAAGTAATTGTTATATATGTTTATGAAAAGATTTATGATGTGGTAGTAAAAAGTTCAAAATAAATCTTAAGATATTTATCTTCAAATGCATATCTTTGAGTAAGGACCTATGGCTAAATCACGCTGAAACAAATAAATCTTAAGATATTTATCTTCAAATGCATATCTTTGAGTAAGGACCTATGGCCAAATCACGCTGAAACACTAGTCCTCGTCTGACCATCAAAATTAAGCAGCATCGAGCCTAGTGAGTACCTAGGTAAGTGACTGCTTGGGAATATCAGGTGTTGTACGCTTGGATTCTTTTCGAATTTTTTTTTATAATTGAGAATCACTAATTTAGATGATGTGTGAGGGGTTTTATAGCTTTTGAATTTCTGTGATCAATAATTTGTCCTCTGTAGAAAATAAGGGTAAAAAGAGCATTGACGCGACACGGCGAGAGAAAACAGGACAACACCAAACTTGAGTGGAAAAAAGAAAGGCTTTATATCAGAAAGAGGGATAAAAAGGAAGATAGGAAAAAAATTTGGGTTTAAAAATCGTTGCAAAAAACAGTGTTTTTTGCGAGGACTTAATTGGTGGCAGTAAAGTTCGTTAACAGTTCTTCTTCTCATTTTTGTTGCAATGCCGGAATATCTTTATCTTCAGATTGAAGAGGGATTCAATTTTCGGAAGCATTGCTGTAACTGTTGGGATATCCTTGTTCCTAAATTGTGTTCTTGGATGCTCCATTTCCGGACACTATGTGACTGTTGGTTGAGCTAAATTGTCCGTGTTGACTGTCGGTGGTACAGGAAAAAAAAAAGGCCATGATAGGCTGCTTTTCAGCCAATCACAGGGACCTCATTTGAAAGAGAGGTAATTATTTTATCTATATAATAATTTCAATGGATGTGTAGTAATTTAATGGATAACAGCCTGAAATCAGAAATCAGAGAGCGGTTCGAATTCCAGTCGAGTTTGTTATATTCACTTACGAGCAAATATCCTTGAAAAAACTATGAATACCCCATCTATAAATAGCAGATTGAACCTTGGTTGGCAATAGGAGGAAAACTCTTTCAGGCCAGCCTGGTGAAGTCCAGGCTCCGTTTGACTGTCTTGAACAAGCCATGCTACGGCTGCAATACATTTGTAGCCCATACGACCCTAATGAGTCACCGAACTCATGATCTTGATCGTGAATTTAGATGATGGGCGCATATCTTTCTGTAAATTGTTGCGGGATTGCTTCTTGTGTTTTTGATGAAAACATGTGTCTCCTGGTATTATTTTCCCCGTAAAAAATTATTGCAGACTCAAATATGAGTCCAAGTAATAAATGAGTAACACAAAACAATATAAAACAAACGAAAATGCATGTATTAACAAAAGTATTACAATTACAATAAAAAAAAATAATTACTAGTTTCATAAAGCGTTTAAATTAGAGAATGTGTGCCTGTGTGCAGGCAACGTGTGTGAAAGAGTACAAAAAGTCACGAGAGAAAAGTAAGACATTGAAAATGAACTTTCCGGGGGGACTTTCCGGGTGGGGTGGGGAACTTTCCCGGGTGGGGGAACTTTCCTGTGGAGGTGGGGGAACTTTCTCTCACTTTTATTCCCACATGCGACTATTTTATATCCCACATGCGACTACATTTTATATCCAGAGTTGTAAAAGAGGAAAGAGAATGCGTAAGACTATCATTTCCTATTCATAGGCTTAAGGCGCGTCCCCATAGCGACGGTTTTTAGGAAAGTCAAGTGAAATAACCAACAAATTTATTATCCTTTTTCTTTTAATGTAACGTTTCAAGGCAATGTATTTGTAAAGTTAAAAGTTAACATCGCGGGCATATTGTGAGGACGTTACATAAAATGCATTTGCAACATCTGTGTTACTCTGCAGACACGTTGTAGCGACGTCACTTTGTTAGCTGGATATATATAAACTTTTGCATACGACGAATAATTCTTCAAGAATTTAAAAAGTTAGTCCTAGATTGGCAGTTAGGTCTCATCATTTTACACTGTTGAATTTGCTAAATGTTACTGTAAGTTCTATTCTAATGGTTTTATTTTCTCGCACTTCTCGCCAACGGAACTCTCTTCCAACTTCTTGGTTTCTTGTCAACTACAAAAATTTAAAAGAAACAACAATCGTCACCTGCTTATTTTTATTGTCCTTTCTCCTCAGTTTCCTTCGTACTGCCGCCATGTTACAGTTAAGTCTTGGAAAACAGGAGAGACACAGGTTTGAGATAGAGCTGACACAGAACATGACTAGCCTTTATTGGGTACTGGAAGAAGAGAGAGACAAGGAGTTAGGGAGAAAGGGGACGTATCAGGGAGCAACAATCACGTTCCTTAACGTCGATTAGGGAGCATACATTAAACAATAACAACTTCCATCTTAGTGGCTTTATCATTTTTCTCGTAGTGAAATGATTAAAAAAAGTTAAATTTCATCAAATATATTCTTGTTTTAGAAATTTAATTAAATTTCATATCTTGAGGAAAGCGTTAATTATCGTACCATGTACCTAATCAAAGCTAAGATCAGATCTGTTGTCTTCGGGTAGGATAGGGCATGTATACTGAAGCGTACCTGATCCCAGGGGATCAATTTCCTAAGCAATGCTTCTTCATTGAACTAAAATAGAGAATGGTTATGGTTCTTTCAGATTCATTTGCAGCAGAGGCTTCAGCAACACTGGGCAATTTCTAAGCTCACCCACATCCAAAAGTGTGTGAGACAGAACATTAAACCAATGGCAATGTTTAGCCTTTGTGCTCCATCCCACCAAAAAAATAAATGGTGTATCAAAAGTACTATTCTTCTCTTGACACTGCTAATTGCACTACACTTTTTAATGTACTGTTTTTAAAAGTAATGATTAGAATTTTAATAAAACACAACATAATGAAAGTAGATTTATTCTTGAAAATTAACAAGAAAAACATTATTTATTGAATAAAAAATTGGGGTACTTTTTTGTGAGTCACTTTTTAAAAACTAATTTTCCAACTTTTCACAAATACAGATGTGTAAAAAAAAATATAACAAAGATTCATTTTTAGCAGACTGGAAAAAAAAAAAGGAAAAAGAATTAATAAAAACAATTTAAAAACATTTTAAATACCACATCTAACCAAAATCAAATTAAAAGGTGGCAACAGAAACCACACGTACCAAAATTGTTTTCTTCATATTTAGTAAAAATATTGCATTATAGTTGGTTACTTACAATTTTGATAATTTTGCAATTTAAACAAAAAAATTGAATAAGATTTCTTTTTCAAATTTATTTCTTTAAGGTAAATAATAGGTATTTGGGAAATAAATATCGTATTATACTTGGTTGACAGTGTAAAAAATTATAAACATTGCCGAGGGATTCAATTCAAGGCTGACATAAACCCCACTTTTGATTGACACACTTTTTTTTTCTTTTTCTGTCTGACACAAAAATTAGACATTGCTTATAATTGATTTTGTGTACTGTAGTATTTGCCCTCGTAGTGTGGCAAATTCTGTTTTTTGAGTAGATAGGGCACTAAGTGAATGCAGATGTACCTTGTCACTTGAGATTCTATCCCCGAGGCAGTCTTCTATTGCAGCGCCAACTAGATAAATCTGGCCTTGACCTACACGTATGTGCATTGGACTCCATCAAATCTTACCATCTGTTACAACTTCGTCGGGAGGCTAATCTCAAACAACTAAACAACCTTATGAAAAAATATCGTAAGAATGCGGCATTTTAAGATGATAACCGCCATATTAACATTTTTCAATTTCTTGGTGATACATTTGGTTGATAATAATTTAGATCTCATGAAGCAAACCTTATCAAATTGCTTAGAAACAGAACTCTTTTGAAAATGTCTGAGTAGTCAGGTTTAATTTGCACGAAGAACTGGGTTTATCTATCACCGCCAAGGCACGTTGCGAATGTATCATCGTTTTTTTTTTGTATTGTCATATTTTAAAGAAAAATTAATAGAAATAGCAAACTGATTTTTTCTTCTTAATATTAAACTGTATTTTTAAAAAAATATAATTACTTTTTTCATGGTATCGGAATTTTTAAAGCAACGGTCAGTAAAGGGAATTTATAAAAAAAAATAAAAAGGTAAGTTGATGCTTTTTTTTTTCCATGTCTCAACAAGGAAGAAAGTGAAAGAAAATATTTTAATTTATAATTACTTTACGTACGAGAAAGTGTTGGTTCTTTCTTTGTGTACATATTCTATTTTTAACTCGGGTGTTTTGTTGTTATAATTTCACTTAAAATTTCAATATGTTATTTTTAATTGTTTCTGAAAATTCACAGGAGACAAAAACACGGGTACAGACTTTTTTAGTCACGACTTAGAATTTATTTACCCAATTTTTTACTCTAATTTTCTCTCATCCCTTTTTTTTTAAACAAGACAAAATGTTGAAATATTTTAAAAAAAAAAACAAAGAAGTAATTTTTTTCTTCAAACTTGTGTTTTATTTCTATCATTCTTTAATACATTTCTTATTACCGACCCATCGTAGTTAATGCATAGGGAAAAATAAATCCATGGAAAAACAGATTTTTTTTAGAATTTTCGTTTGAATTTTTTGTGATGCGTTACAGTCGAACTATTTTCCACATCTTTGTTGTTATTATCATGACTTTTTCGGCCAATATGTATGTCGATCCAGGTAACCTCCAGGAAATTTTGAATTGAACCCTTTTTTTAATTTCTCACAGCAATATAAAAATCATTGGTTTGTGAATTTGGTGGCATTGTAATTGTGAATTTAATTCAGACTCGGACAAAACAATGGAAAACAGGGGGAGCAATAATTGAGCAGTACTATTTAAAAAAAAAAAAAAAATACAAGGTGAGATATCCCTAGACATAGACAATGGACAACCAAGGATTCAGTTTTAAAATTCCCAAAACCACCCAGGCTTATGAAGGCCGGATATTACAATTATTACTTCAATTTCTCTTATAATGTTTAAATTTAATAAACAAGCATTATCACTAAAAGTAAGTATCGCCAAAGATTTGCCAAAAATGAACATGAGACATATGATGAAAAAATGCCCCCCAAAACGATTTTTTATCGCCAAAACCTTATTTTATTAATTTTTAAGAGGAAAGACGAAATGATTTTTTGATTATTAAATTATATTTTTTTTAATCTTTTTTAGAACGTTCGAAACTTTGGTTATAAATCCGTATTTTCTTGCTTCAGCGGGTGGCGGGATTAAATTATTATCGTCTTTTCTTAGGTGAAAAACATTGATTTGAAAATTCTTGC